GTTAATGCTTTCATTTAATTTTTTTGTTTAAATTGTTTTGTAATATAGAGTGATAAAAAAATTTGGTTTAACAAATCGATTTATATTTCATTAAGTTTAAGTATATGCTGAAATTTTTTTTTGGATAAAAGTTTCTTTGAATAGAAGTAAAATAATTTATTATTTTTTAATTTAAATTTTTTTTAAATTTCAATTTTTGGTTTAATGTTTGCCTGCCCAAACCAAAACTCTTAACCTACATATGTACATTTTATTGTGCCGACTCCTAAATAGTCAACAATGTTTGCATCCTTACATGTTTTCCTAAATAAATCATTTAGGAATTGACACAGGAAACACAGTAATTGTATTTTAATAATTTTAATAAATTTAAACAATTTTAATAATATTGGGAACTATGAGACAGAGGGAAATTGATGAGATAAAAGGCAGAAATTTGCTCTTTTGAGCAAATTTCATTCTTTTGACTTGTGTTTTAGATTTTGTTCAGAGATGAGTCAACATTCCAAGTTATAAAGATGTTGGATAAAAAACTGCTACCAAACTGTTAATTTACTTTCTAACAGGTGGAGCAATATTCCAAATAAATGGTGCACCTTGTCACAAGCCCATTCTGTCAAGCAGAATCACAATAATAGTAGTTTACAATAACATCACAGTGTTAGATTGGCTGGTTTCATCACCAGATATGAACCTTATTGAAAACTTATGGATGATTGTTAAGTATGGATTTGCAACCAGAAAGCCAACAACAAGAGAAAATGAATTGCTAGTAACTGTTCAAAAAATATTTCATGAACTATAAAAAAATACTACTTAAAAGCCTTATAACTTGTTTTAACAACAGATTCATTTTTTCTGAAATAATTTTCTGGATCATTCTGTTCATTTTAAACTGTTTTTTTTTACTTTTATCTTATCAAAGAAATATCTTAATCTATTCAACTTTAAGAAAAAATTAAAAATCGTGAAAAAAATGCCAAAATGAAGTTAAATGTTTTTTTTATTCATCCACAAGTCTTTACAGAAAGGTTTTCTGATAAGCTACTTTTGTCTGCAATAAATGGGTAGATAAAAAATAAATTGTCTATTCATCCTCAGCCATTTTGAAATGCTTGTAGATTTCTCTAACACTTTGTATTGATGTCAGATTAACAACATATCAGACCATTAGACCCAACTATCTAAAAATTCAAGCATTTTTAACTTGCTATGTTTGCACCATAAATGACAGTGTTTTAAAATAATGCTAAATAATATTCTTCATTTATTTAAGGTCTGAATGCATTATTGAAAACCTACTCGCCCATGTAGGGGATGCAACCAATTATAAATTATTTATTAAAAAAAAAAAAAATGATTGGTCACCCCTTCTTGATCTGGTCTTTATACCAGTATAGTGATAGGGACACAAATAAATAGGTAATAACTATTGGGAGCCAAGCATTATTTTATAAATTCGATACTTTAAACATATTTTACAAAATTAAATAGTTTTATATGTCAAAGTCAAAAAAAACTTATTATGTTACAAAAATAATGATCAACAGTTTTTTCAAATGAAAGTTTTTTTAAAAAACATCAACATATCAAGAGTATTGAAGAATTCTATAATAAAAATAAACCACTTATATTATTAGGTTTGTTTTCTAATTTTTACCGATAACTAGTTAACAATTAAAAACATTGAATATATGATAATTCATTTAATCTTTTTTTAATAAGATAAGGATAAAACCCTCTAATATTTTTTGAGCTCAGGCTCATGTAGTGTGGCAATGTCACCAAATAGATGCCAATGGATATTTGATGTTATTGGATACATGAAACAACTATCAGTTTTTAGGAACCAGCTGACACAAACAGAATCTTTTTGGAGATCTATTATCTTTCCAGGAAAAAAATCACCAAAATAATGCACTAATACTAAATCAAAAATATCGATGTAAATATTTATTGACTCAATAGATAATTATTGTGTATTAATGCAAGTATCCTCCACCATGTGAAAAATGAAAAATTTACTGGTCATGGTAATGCTATATAAGCTTTTTAACAGCATGATTAAAATGAGAAATAATGACTTGAGCAAGTTCATTTGACAAATACTTCATGTGTATTAGTAGCTGTTTCAGATATATACAGAAATCTTAAAATAAATTTAAATATAAATCAGATTAATCCTTTATCAGAAGTGGTATGATTTTTGAAACATAACAGAAGACTGCCTTAGTATTATGATGCAGATTGACTTTAATTCTATTTTTAATGCTTTAACCATAAGGTTTAGATTTTGATGTGTATACAAACACAGACTATGTCAGGCCTTGTTTTAAATAAAAAAGTGCTTAATGCATTAGCTTAACGCGATTTTGACGTCATAAAATTATCTTTATTTTTTTTTATAGACGTTAAGTGTTTTAACTACCGCAATAAATAAATAACCGCAAACTAATTCAATTTAGCAATTAACTCAAATAACTATAAACGTTTTAAAAAAAACAAGTTCACCAGGAATTTAATTCATAAATATTTTATGTTATTGTAAAAATATTTTACTTTTTAAACAAACCACAAAGAAACAGAGCTATAGAGAAAAATCGTTTTTAACGATTAAATCTTTTTTTTTTTAAATTTCAGGAAATTAAAAAAAAAAATTAAATTAAATATAAAAGTCTTAATTATGCAAACTCTTTTGTTAATTATTCTTAAAACAAAACAAAAAATACTTCTACGCAAACTTTAATCATGCAAACTTAAAAAAATACTCAACTGAAATAATTTAAGTATATTTAATAATTTGAATCGTATCTGTTTATAATAAACGTTCGTAAAAATTTGTTTATTAAAAATTAAGTTCCTTAACTTATAAACAAACTCAAAAGTATTTTCATTCTACGTATAATTACAAAACTCTTTTTTTTTTTCGTTTGTAAGGAATTTAACTTAATAAAATAAAAAAAGAATAAATATGAGGTAATCTTTGTTAAGAACAAATTTAATTTATTTATTGAACTATATTTTTATTTTTAATTATATATCAACTTAATTAAAATATAGTAACATGTTAAAATATTTTAACATGACTTGTGTTATTTATAAACCGTTGGGCAGTTGCCCTTACGGCACCATTGTTTTTGGCATGGGCAAAACATTGGCAAAGTCCCAAGATTTAAAAGTTCTTAAAGTAAATCTTTTGTCCTTCAAAATACAATCCATATTTGAACTTTAAACAATTTAGAAACAATATAAATATACAAGGTTTTTATATACTAGTTTGTTTTGTTTTATAAAGAAAAATACATATTCATTAGTAAAAAATGGAGACTGTCATTAAACTAAAACGTGCCTTAGTATTTATTTAACGGAACCTGTAATGTGCGCGTACATAATGAAACCTCCGTTATATAAATACATTCAACGTAATATTAGTGTCATTAGTGGATGTTGTAGTCTACTCATGATTTCTTTACCTTATAATATAACTTGATTTATGAAAAAAAAAACTTATTGAATCGCACGCAGAAGAATTTTAACAAATTGTCTTCATTCAAATATTGCGAGTAACAGGTAATTTTTTTTTTCTGTGCCGACCCCCTCCCCCCGCATAAGTTAAAGGTAAAGGTATATCTTTACCTTTAACTAATAAGAAAATATATATCTATATACCTTTAACTAATAAGAAAAGCAAAGACATTTTTTTTAATATCTCGAAAAAATGTCTTGATATTTTTGTTATCATGATAACAAAAATATTAAGACATTTTTTGAGATATTAAAAAAAAATGTCAATTCTTAATTACAAATTTTTTTGCAAATGTTTTTTATTATAAATTCAGTAAAAAATTCTTAAAAAATCTATATTACAAAAAACATTTATATTTTGTATTAATAAATATGGAATATAGATTTTTTAAAAGTTTTTTACTGAAAACTTTAAAAAATTACTACTTTTTATTAAAAACATTGCAAAAAATTTGTAGTTAAGGATTGACAAACAATTTTTCATGTTGCTAAATATTTGGATAAAAAGTTTAGCGTCAAATTAATTGCTATAAAAAGGAAAGATATATCGCAATGAAAAGTTACAACAATTATTTTCAAAGTAAATTTATTTTTTTAATAAATATCTTTACATATTGCTATTTAAAAGTTAATGTGGTTTTTTTAAAATTAATTACTTCTTTTATGTTACCGCTAATTTAAAAGTTAAAAAATGATAAAAAGTAGCTTAACCAAAACAGCTCTACGCATACGTAAAAATCGCTTAAGGAGTACGTAAATCGCTCTAGGCGTAACGCTTTAAAACAAGGACTGCTATGTGTATGTCAAATTTGCCAGAAAAAAATACAATGTTGTGACTTTAAAAAAACAAATGAAGTCTTAACTATTAGCTAATTAGATATAACAAATTTTTTTAACTTTGATACTTTATCCATTTCTGGTAAAGTTCTGAAAGATTGCATAATGCAAGTTATTTAATGTAATGTCAATTGTCTTAATGCAAATAAAACCCTTTACTCCTGGTAATAAACTTTTATTGCTATGACCCTTATAAAAGTTGCCTTTACAACTTCAGAAGTCAATTTTGTAAAATAGTCCCAGTTCCTCTTATTAAGAGTGTTTTTATGACAATCTAACTTCAAGTTTAAGGCCATTAAAACAAGAAATCAAGATTTTCTTTAATTTAAAATTGGATTAAATTATTGAACTTTATAAATAAAATAGATCCAACACTTATATAACTTTATAAATAAAATAGATCTAACACATTGATACAATAAGATATAAATCAAACAAATAATATAATTGAAAAATCTGCAACATTAACATCAAAAGTAACAAATAACCTGTTTTATATTAAAATATTAAACAGGTAATTTATTTTGAATTACGAACACTTTAAATAATCACAGATACATTTTAGTTTTAAACTGCAAAAAGCTGCTTATATTTTGCCTATTTATTGCAGACAATAGTAATTTATCAAAAAAACTTAC